TTAAAGACTATCGCATAAAATCATTAACATTCAAATTTTCATAGAACATTTCTTTTTGAAGTATCCAAGAAATTCGTTTATTATCCTCTTTATTTGTTTATTAATTTCATTAAATATGTAAAATTATTTTATAAAATTCCTCTCAAATTTGTTTCAATAAAAAGAAAATAATTGTATGGTAAAGAGGACAGAATTTTCATTCATATCAAAATGGTAGACAGAAAAAAAAGAATCTGATAAAAGAGATTATCGTGTTTTCCTCCAATGTTCACCTCCTTCACTATCCATCATCCACAAATATCTCTCTGAGCCATTTTTAATGGCACGGTTGCTCGCTTCTTTTGCAAACAAGATATAGCATAAAATGATGAAATATCATCAAAGGGTTATTTGATATCAGGAAAACATTGATTGATTGAATTTTTTGAATTAACGATATTCCCATCATTAAAATATTATTGATTAGGATAAATCGTAAATGTAATTTCTATTCCTCCTTCCAGTTAATTACTCCAAATAATTTTATGCAACAATTAATTTACCGCTTTACTTAAATTTATTCAAAATTTTTAGATTAAACTAGCATTAAAGCAATTGTGCAACAGTTGTGTATCAATTCCAAAAAATTAATAACTTTAAATTGCAAAGAATTATTTTGATAAATATAAATTTGCAGTACTTTTTTTTAAATTTTTTACAAACACAATTCTTTATAAAAGTTTGATTTTGCAGTGCAAAAACCAACATCTTATGGATTAGCAGTGGAAGGTAATGCTGAATCATCCGGTTCTCCGGTTGTCCTGAAACACACACGTGAAAAATCACTTGATCGATCATCTATTCCAGAACATTCTAAATCACCGGATTTATTACGAAAAGCTGAACTATCTAAAGGTGCTACTCCTATAGCTGAAAGTCGGCAGAGGTATGCGCTCTTTTAATTAGGAATGCTATTATCATATGTTAATTAAGAATGCTATTATCAAACTTTTAAAAAATCATTACGAAAGATTAAGGTGAATGAGAATTCATTTAATAATAATTTCCATACATTGAGAGCAATATTTACCATTTGATTGTCCTAAATTTATAATTTTGACTTTGATTTTATTAATCTACTAAACATTATAAGTAATTTTTGACTTAATTACTGGAATATCGAGGCACTAATTTACCAATTGTTAAATTTCACATTCTACTTCTAAAAAAAAAGAAAAGAGATTTTATTTTTGTGTTAGGTAAATAACAGTCAATTAGACTTTTCATTGTTACCATCTGTCTTACATTTATCATCAATGCCTGTTTATCCTTTGATTCTTGAAAAATTTATAAGAATGATAGATTAATTTTTTAAGTTGAAATATACAATTTCAATTTAGACTTACAAAAAAGAAATATTAATAAATTTATAGGAAAGATAGAATGTACAAAGTGGAATAAAATTATAGAAATTTATCTAAAATGTGAATATTTTTCATCCCATCTTTAGCTTTTTTTTTTTTCTTTAATGCTAAATCAAATTTGTACATTTTAGGTCACGAAAAATTGATGATTACGATCCAATAGCACGAGAAAAAGAACGAGAAACTGATCAGACAGCAACAAATTTAACTGAGAAAGAAGATGGTCGATTAGGTTATATGATAGCGCAATATGGTAATGGTACAATTGGTACCGCTAATGTCACACCGGGCCAAACAATCAGTAGTCGAACTTTTACAGGTTAATAGTACTTCTGTGATTTGTGATTGATTTCAATGAACTTACTTGTTGAAATAATGCAAAAATAGAATGGATAGAGATAGTGTGTGAAATTTGCAGATGATGGACGAGGTATCGTGACGTCCACTTATACTGCTGAAACACGTTATAGCAATGTATCACCAGCTAGAACGTATGAGTATGCAAAAGGGACAATGACCAATTTACCACATGATGAACGAATTGCTACACCAACAATGTATAAGGAAATCAGAGCTTTTGAAATACCAAAAACCAAAGAGCTGGTAGCTAAATCGATATCATCTGATTCTTCACATAATTATTCATTATTTCTCGATCCATCACGATCATCTCCATCTGGAATTATTGGTTATGATACGAAAGCTAAGGTTAAATCATTGGATCAATTGGAAAGTGGTAGTAGTTTTATAACAGATAGTCGACGTTATGATAGTAAATCATTATCAAGTGAATATCGTGATTTGGATTCAAGTAGCTATAGTATCCGACAATATGGTACAGGAAATACAGGAATGACAGATCAAAAGCAAACGCAATTGAAATATTTTGGTGAAGAATCGATAAAATCAGATGGAAGTAAAACATCAAGAAATGATATTGATATATTAAAAACAACTTATGAGCCATATCGTTCATCAGTGAATGATCTCATACAATCTGGTGGATATGTTAGAAATAAGCTTGATTCGGATAAACTTTATTCAAATGGATATTTGAAGCATGACGATGAATCATCATCGTTAGCTACTAAAGGGCCAAGTTTTGAAGCACCAATAATAGCATCTTATGGTCGTGCCAGATCAGATATTTCAATTGATAGACAACAAAAAGCTTCACAAAAACCTATCATCCCATCGATGACAATTTTGGAACGAACCGAGGAAATGGAACGATTACCGCGAAATTGGAAATCAATTGAGCAAATGAATACAGGTACTGGATGCTATCGAAAAAAATTATCAGCTAAGGATGAAAAAGTGGAAATAGGAGAGAGTCATCAATATTCAGGTGATATCGGGAACACCATCATTTGTGCTTTTTCTTTTCTTCTTCATTTTATTCCTTGAATGTATCACCTCAACTATCACCTCGTCTTCTTTTTCACATTTTAAAAATATTCTCATCAAATGATTCTAATTATTCATTTTTCAACTCTTTAATTTTCTTATAACTTTTCAAATGTGTTATTTTAAAATCATATATTCAAATTTTCATTGGTACTTTTTGATTGATTGTTATATTAGACAAATAGCATAGGAGTAGTTTGAAAAAAAAAAGAAGTTTAAAACTCTAAGCTATTGATTATCTTTCAGGTATTGATGAACAAAATTATCGTAACATGAATGCAAGATTGGATGATGGACGACGATGTTACGATTCATTACAATTCACTGAAGAATCATTTCAAACTTTGAGCAGGTATATGTGTATATTTTATTATCGAGACATTACAAATGAATTAATGTATATGTGTGTATGTATGTGTATGTGTCACATACACATACATACACACATATACACACACACAAATATTTTTATAAATAGTGTAAAATTTAAAAAAAAAAAAAAAAACTAGTTTTTGAAGAAGTCTAACTAATTATGTCCTGAATATTTCTTTTTTCCGTTAATTTTCTTTTTGTTACTATCAAAGAAAGTTATATAATGGAGAATGTTTAAAAAAAAAAAAAGAGTGAAAGAATAATGAAAATGATGGTATAGTAAATTTTGCGAGGTTTATAATTTGTTAATGCAGAAATTTTTAGAGATCGTGACATGGAACCAACGTTTCTACCAACGGCACCACAACGGACAGCCGATTATATGCGAACAAGAGAAGAGGAGAAATTTGGTACATTCCGAGAGATGGATTCAATCCTTTCTTCACAACGGTTTTATTATTATTATTATTCTTGTTTAAATTTTTTTTCTTTTACTTTAATCATGAAATGCACGGAGTTATATTTCTTTTATTTAATAAATGCATTTAATCTTCATCTTTGTGTAATTAAGCAGTTTTAACTTTTACATGATCTTCTACAATGATAATGGTGGTGATGATGTAATGTAATTAGTATTTAATTTTTCATCCATAATTAAACATATTTAAATAATTTAACATTTTAACTTTTGCATAACCTTTTTTGCATATTAATGATAGCATATGATGTATAAATGATGCCAATTTAGCTTAATGCTGATAACATTATATTGATAAATTTAACTTAAATGATATGGAGTTATTACTTTTATAAAATATATTTCTGTAATTATCATAATTCTTTTGATATCAATGATTTGATTTTAATATGACATTATCATATTAGATTTATGAATAATGATATTGTGAATTGATTTAGTACCGTAATTTGATGATTCGTATGTTGCAGAAAAAAAGATCCCGACTAATAATATTGCTGATAACATTATATTGATAAAATCTTTAATGTTTTGGATAGGACGTAATAGATATGATCTCTTTTATCATTTTCTTTTCATCGTTGATGAGATATTATTGTATTATTTTTAGAAAATTTAAAACTTAAACAAAAAAAGTGAAATAATATGAAATGAAAATTAATATTCATAATTAATATTCATAATGTATGCTATACTGTAGTATTACCTATATTTATCACCTTATCCCATCTTCTTTTGAAATTTTCGAAATTATTTATCTAATCCATGATATTTCATCAATTTGCTAAAAGAATAGCTATGCAGAGAATAACATTTAAAGAGTTAAAGGATATATTTTTTTCTTGAATTTCATAAAAAAAAAGCACACAAATACACACATACATAGGCAATACGGTTCGATGAGGGAGTATAATTATGGATCGTATCGTTAATTTCAAATTGTTAATTACGATAATAGTAATGATGACAAATCTTAACAGTAACAATGAATATCAAATGATAGGAATAGTGAAGAGTTAGCAGTTTATCAGTTGTCGGATTAAATTCTAAATTGATGAAATGAGCAATGTGAGCCAAAAAAAGCACCTTATTCTAAAATGTTTGATAGGCCATATAAAAGCAATATACATTTTTGCTAATAATAATTTTTTCTTTTATCTTTACTTTTGTCTCTCTCTCCCTCTCCTTATCCATGTTTCTTTCATTTACTTACTAAAAAAATTTCTGATTGAATTTTAGATCTCATCAAAATTCTAGTAGGTTCAAAATAGATAGGTCGAGCATTCTCTATATTTTATTGTTATTGTAAATGATGAAAGTATAATGAAGGGATGAACCTCTTGTGAGTGACCTCTTCATATTTTGACCCTATTTTTAAATCTCTTTTTTTCATCTGGTGAATTATTTTATTGTTATTGAATTGAATTGAACATTTTTGACCTATCTCATATTATCTCATTAATATTTTAGTTTTTATGTTTTGTTTTTATACCACCCATTTTTGGTTTCTCTCTCATTATCTGAACAGCATTTCAGAATTCAAAATTTTACAATTTCAAACAATCTTTTTCTAATTTTTTAAATTCTGCTTGCTTTACATGAAATAAATTCCAAGCATCTTTCTCTCTTTCTCTCTGTTATTAGACAATTTGACGCACAAAAAAAAAAGAATGAAAATTATCTATTGGATTCCTTTTGCTAACCTTGAAAACTATGAAAAAAAAATTCATTTTGATCGTAAATTGTAAATATTGAATTGCATTCCAAAAAATTACTTCTTTATTGATGGTTAATTACATTTTTTTTAATAAAATAAATAATTATATGATTGTTTCAGATTCTCAAAGATTGAATATGGCGAACGAGAGGGTCATATATCAGAGATAGTGGAGGAAGCAGTATTGACACCACGAACACGACGAAAACTTCAGGAACAAAAAATCCGACACGAGGAAGAACTCGACGTATGATTCAAATTTTAATTAAATTTAAGATTTTCCAAAAAATTTGTTTTATCAGACAACATGTTAAAAGTGGAACTTTTATTTTTCTACTTGCTTACTTTTATTCTGATATTATTTTCTTATTAGTTTGGATTTATGAGTTTCAATTATTGTCGTATTTTTCACATAGTTATTTCACGAATTATTCATAAGGAATTATTTTTCAAAAAAGCTTTGAAAAGCTTTTTGTAGCTGATAGATACTGTAACTGTGACAGTTTTTTGAAAAACAAAATAATCATAATATTAGATTTTTGGAATTGTTTTACATTTCAAACTGTTTTTGCTATAAACGAAAATATTTGTATTCTTTAATTTATTTTTTTATTTACTTTTTCAACTCCGCATTTGATACTTTTGTTTAACAGATTGCTTAAACGGAAAATTGAAAATTCTATTTTTTAAAATTTTCTATTCTTTCATTTCTTTTTTTCATTTAACCTTTTCTAAGTAAAATTATTTAGGAAAAACGAGAAGAAGCACGTAAAGCGATAAAAGACGACTTGCATTCAATGCAAGCATTGGATCGTGACGAATTTGAGTTATCTCAATCGAAACCCTCAACTCCTTCACCGATATCCACACCTCGAGCAACTCCCAGGCTTAGTTTGAAATTCGGAAAAGTTTGTTACTTTCTTTTTTTATGGTTAGCATAAGTTATCTGTGTCAACATTTGAATGTTAACAATTTTGAAAAAAACTCAAAATATACTCAAAATGGACAGCGGTCAAAAGCATTATAATATATATAGGATGGGATGTTACATACAACAGTGTTGCAATTTTTAAAAAAACTATCATGCTAATCATTTTTTTTGGTTATTTTAGGAGAGTTAGCGATTTATGCAAAAATTATGAATGAATTATTCAAGTACATTTAGGGTTACATAGAGATTCGTAAGTATGCATTAGTTTATAGCCCATTTTTCTCAACAAACTTTATGTCGGTCTTGTCATGAATTGGACATAGTCCATACATGCGTTCTGTCTGGCAAATCAATTCATCACTTCAACAATTTGCTCGTCAAATCATTTAAAAACAAATTCTTTCCTACATTACTCATTAATTTACGTGTAAGATATCGCTTTCAGGAAAAAGAAAAAAAAGGAATAGAAGAAGGTGGTTTCAATTTTGGTAAATCGAAAATAACATCCAAGCATGAAATAGTACGACGTGGAAAAGATGTTGACGTGAAAGTTGATTCATTAAAACTTGGCAAAGATGATCAGCTAAAAGTTGTTGTAGTATGTAAGTTATCAACATAATGTTATTTAGAAATTCAATCAATCATTGATTAATGGATAGCAAATTAAATTGGATTATAAAAATTATTGGTGAAAATTTAATTAACTGAAAATAATACTGATTATAAGTTATTGCGATAAAATGTGAGCATTTTTCTTGCAATTTGAAGAAGATATTGCTTAATGTTCAAGATAATTTTTGCTATCAGTCTTGATCATTATAGTTATGATTATTTGTTGATTATGATCTGCAATTATGTATAATTTGTATTTCTTACTATGATTTTGACTTTATTACTTTTACTTTCTGAAAATTTTTGCAGTAGCAGCGAAAGGAGCAGTGGAGCGTGAAGAAATTGAACCAAAGGTGAAGAAATCTCGTCATTCCTATGAGATATCATTTCGGCCATCAGAAGTTGGAACACACAAAGTACGCTGAAATTCATATTTGAAAATAATCACACTTTTAATTTCAAGTGTCTATTTTTTTGCTAAACTACTTTATACAGTTGTTTCGATTTTAAATTGTCTGAAGAAGTTGAGTTAGTTATTGAGATTTAAAATCGTTTTCATGATTCTTTTCATGATTCATTTAATTTTAATTTGGAAGGAATGTTTTGAAAATGGAAAATTTTTTATCATATATGAACGTACTTAAACAGTTTGATATTTAGTCAAATAAAGAGTTATGGATGAAATTAAACAAGTACTGAATTGTTAAGTGGAATGAAATAATAATTCAGTTTTAATATTTGAGGTAATGGTTTATGTAAATGATACGTTGCATCCAATGTGTCCATTTCCGATTCGTGTTTATGATGCATCAGAAATTATTGTTGGTGAAATTGCATCACAAAGTACTATCAATGATACCGTTGAATTTACTGGTTAGCTTTAAACGATTACAATAAGCAGTTTTTAAGCATAAGTTTTGTGAAAAGATAAGTATGATTAATATAACTTTTAAATTTTATCCTATGATATAACTGAGAACCGGATGTGAAACTTACTTTATTATTACTGTCACTTCTATTTACTCGTATTATAAAATTATGGTCATTTTAGATAGATTTATTATTCCTGAAAAATAAAATAGTCTTAATTTTTAACTTAAAAAGGAAATTTTGACACCTAGAAAAGTTTTTATTTTCTTTATTGTTTTATAAAATTTTTCTCCTTCAAATATTAATTATTTCAAATATGAAAATTTATTATTTATGGAATTCTCTTTATTCAAACATCAGTTATTACAAATATAAAATTATGTTACCAAATATTTTGAGATATATTGTTCATATTTTAAAATTACAAAATTGATAATATCATTGTTATAGTTGATGCTGGCCGAGCAGGTTTTGGAAATCTTGAAATGGCAATTAAGGATAGTGATGGTATTATTATACCATCTCATGTGGCACAGTTAGAAACGGGAACTGCTAAATTTTTGGTGACATTTAATCCAACTACCATTGGAATGCATACCGTTAATATTACATTCAATAAAGAAGTCCTCAAAAGTACATGCTCTTAAATTGTTAAATTATTTATTCATAATTCATAAAAAATTTTTCTTAATATTTTTTTATTCATTATTGTTACATATTATTTATTTAATTTTATACTCTCAAATTACAGTATTCACAGTTTACTGTGTTCGCTTTTAGATAGTCCATTCGAAGTGAATATTGTCGATGAAAAGTCAGGCGAAAATATGGAAAATGTGTATGTTTATACTTTGAAAATTGTTGCAAACAAAAAAAATTAATAAAATGATTTTATTGATTTTGAAACCGTAAAAAAAAGGAATGGAAAGATTTGCTAAATTTTCAACGTGAAATAAAGTTCAGATCAAAATTTTATTCGACAGAAATGAGTGTTAGCATTTTTTTAGTTTAATGGATGGAAAGAAAAAAAATACACGCAAAGAAAAAGAGGAGAAAAAACGTGAAGAAAAAGAACGTGTGAAAAAAGAGAAAGAGGAAAAGTTAATGGCTGAAACATTAAAGAAGAATAAGGTAATTATATTCTGGAGAAAAAAAAATTTTTTTTTCATAAAAAAATAAAAATGAAAAAGTTGAAAATTTTCAAAACTCAATTTTTGCTTATTTTTCATAGGGAAAAGAAACGAAGAAAAAGAAGCATCAAATGGAGAAGAGAACAAGCGTTTCCAAAATTCCATCATTAAGCCGAGTTGGACGACCGGCGCAAATTCTTATTACGCTGGCTGGCGATGAGCAGCTTGACATTACAGTGATAGGTCAGTTTAAAAAAAAAATTTGATTTTATGAAAATGAAAGGTGAAAAAATTTCAATAATATTTGTGAAGTTTTTCAATTTTAAAAAAGGAAAAAAAATTGCTGAATGAATTATAGCTGATGCGTAAATAAATCACGAATTTCATCTATTTTAGATCCAGAAAGAAGAAAAATTGAAAGTTCAATGTCCGATCATGAACCTGGTGTTAAAAAAATTGAATTTATACCTGTGCAAGTGGGTATGTCTCTTCAAAGAATTTCGTATTTTTAAATTTATGCTATGATACTTAATGTATGATATTTAAATATTATTCTGTAGTATGTATCTGAAAATTTGAATCCTTTTTTTTTCGAGATCATTCTCCTGTTTCATCTCATTTAAGGTTTTTTTTGTCTGCTTTCTTACTATTCTAGTTTTGGTTCCTTTTCATGTCAGATGTTTTGCTTATTTTGGATGCTTAATTTTAATGGCGGTAACAACTTGTTTTAACAATTCATCATTTCAGGTGATCACGAAATTGAAGTTAAATATGCAGGTGCGGATGTTCAAGGCAGTCCATTTACTTGTCGAGCATATGATCCAGCAAAAATTAGCGTCGGTGATATTCCTAATAGTGTGGTCGATAGGCCGGTCCATTTCATTGGTTTGTTTTTGCAAAAAAAGAAAGAAAAAAATGAAATGATGAATTTAAAATATGTTTATTAATTGAATGTTTCAATCGTCATAATTCAAAGTATGCTGAAAAATGTAAATCATTCGACAATGTTATTCACTCGAATCGAACTTATGCCATATTTAAAATTGACTTCCAGACTTGTTGTTTATAAAAATTGAGAAATAACCTTGGTTTGTTCTAATTTTCTTACTCTCCTTACTCTTCTTACTCTTTTTAGTAGATGCAAGTCAAGCAGGTGTTGGTAACTTAGAAGTAGCAGTAAACGAAGGGCGCATACCATCGATGGCACAATCACTTGGACAACATCGTTATGATATATCCTTTGTACCGAGAGAACTTGCTGATCATACCATATCTGTTCGTTTCAACAATGAACCTGTACCAGGTAAGTAAAAATTAAAATGTTAACGAGCATTGGTGAATGAAATTTTTCTCACTCTACGCCATTTTTCCAATCAAATATGAAGTATTGGTTATTAAAATTAGGATCAAATGTGAAAAGTTAGAAAAATTGTGGTGTTTATTTTATATAAAATGTTAATTTATATGTAGAATTTGTTAGTTCACACATTTGATCCTAATTTTTTTTTTTAATAACCAATACTTCATTTATTTTCAATAATAAATCTCTGCTTAGGGAAATAAAAATTTTCAATTGTAAATGATAGGAGAGAATTGCAGATATTAAAGAGGTCCAATTTTGTCATAAGTCATTTAGATTTTAAATTTCTAATTTATTTAAGTATCAAATTTTGAATTTTGATTCTTTGTGCTAACTAATAGTGAAATTCCTCGTTACTAGTGTTTTTTTTGCATCTTCAGTCATTATTATCATTCTTTCTTTAATTTCTTTGATTAGAGCACTACCAGTGGAGCAAGAATGTAAATTAATTATCGAAACTTCGACTTGTTTATTTTTACAATACATAAAATTAATTTAGGAAGTCCATTCATTTGTCGTCTGGTAATGGCACAATCAATAACAGTTTCGGGTCCCGGCTTGGAACGAATACCGGTTGGACAAATAGCACAAATTTATGTAGCTATTGAAGGTATGAAAGATATGTTACCTCAGACACATATTACTGATTCACAGGGTAACAACATTCCGGTGAGCATATCAAAAAGTGATACCGATGATAAGAAGTATATCATCTCATATACACCAAAGAATGTTGGAAATCATCAAGTGAGTTCTGTTTCATATAAACAAAATATATGTGCAGTTTTAGTATTTAAAAATAAACGAAATCAAAAAATGTGAATGCTACATTTTTTTTTAAAATTTATATTTATTTTTAATATTTCAATTGTAATAGATATATGGATAATACTATTGATTTACGATATTTTTGCAAAAGTATTCTTACTAGTAGTATATTTAATGAGAGTGGAAAAATTCAAATGTTTTATAATTTCTAATTTTTAGATTGATATAAGCTGTGATGGTAAACCAGTTACTGGATCTCCGTTTACTTCTAAAGCATTTGATGCAAAATGTGCTAAATTGTCATGTATAGAAGAAGCAATTGTTGGCCGCCCTTGTACATTCATGATTGATGCTGCTCGAGCTGGAGCTGGTAATATGGAAATTATTGTTAGTGTTGAGAATCGAAATGTGCCAAATTTCGTACAGGTTTGAATATGATAATATTAATTTTAATCTTTTTATTCCTTTTACTTTCGATTTGCATTGATTTTCATAGTTGAGGAAAGAAAAGAAAAATGACCGATAGAGTTAAAATTTAATAGATTAATGAAAATAATCCTGAGGGGAGAAAGATAAGAAATGTAAAATTGTCTTCAATCAGATATCTTGTCATATTCTTTATTGTTTAGGCAGAAGGACAAGCAAAATTTAAAGTTTCGTTTACACCACAGGAAGCTAAAGATCATCTTATAAGTGTTCGATTCAATGGTGATCCAATTCCAGGTAATTATAATTACTTTTTTTTTTAAGAAAAATTGGGGCAACTTTATTATTTATTTTTTTGAACATGAAAATTTCAATTTTTTCAGTACATTTTTGAATTAATTTTGATTGTTAAAAGTTTTAATTCCATGTATCAAATTAAAGGCAAATTATTCCTTCATCATTTTTAGTTCATACTAAAATTTAGATCGTTTCAAATACCAAGTTCTTTTAGCGTCGTTATATCGGATAGTTGTAATGCTTTTTCATTACAATTCTTTCTTATCATTTCGGGAATGATTTCAAACAATTTTCTGACATAACAAAAGTCATTGAAGTGATACTGCTTATGGTTGAATAAATCCTAGTCGAACTTAATTCCATTTTATAATAAACAGGCTATCATTATACGTTTTAAATATAAAATTTCAGGTTCACCAATGGTTTGTCCAGTGCGGGGAAGATCATCACAGTCGATTGCGGGTATGTCAGGATCGATGAATACCGGAGGAATGGAGCAAGAGATTCGTTTAGTTGGTGATTTAACTGTAGGACAGGTATAATGAAAAGTTTTTTTTTCCTTCTCAGTTCTATTTTAGTAAATTTCTTACAATTTCTTAATCGACAAATTTGAAATTAAATATATTTTATTTTCAATAAAATTTGAATTTTTGGAAGAATTGTTTAAATTCGTGATTTTTCTTTTTTTTTTTGATCAGGTTGGACAAACAAAAGGCTTCAGCATTGATACAGGCGGACGTGAAACTGATTGCAATGTTGCCGTTATTGGTTGGTTTATGAAACTGTTAATGAATATAATAACACCATTGTTTGTCTTACAAAATCGGAGAAATTGTGAACTAAGCACTATTTTTTTTTTAACTTTTGAAAAATCACTGAGTATTAGTAATGAATCAATTATGTATTCGCATTAAATCGGAAACCATTGAATTTAATTATTTTGTGCAAAATTATGCAGAATATATTAATTTATAAAAGTAATAGTATCAAAATTGATTGTCCTTTCTCCGGTTTTGTCAAAAAAATGCGTTTTACACATAAAAATTTAATTTAGTTGCTTTTTGCTTGAAGCTTACTTGAATTTGTCATTTGTTTTATTTGTTAAATTGCACCGTTTCTTGTCCTTCATTTTGTATTTCGTTCGTTTTTATATTTTGTATTTTGTTCGTCTCTATTTTGTTCGTTTCCGCGTGTTGCACAGAGGAATGCTGAAATTCAGATTCGCATGGTCATGAATTGGATGTTGAAGTGGAAAAAGTATGCAATGGATATCATGTACAATTTCGACCTCTCATATCGGGTCAGTTGTTTTTTTCCTCTCTCCCTCCCTCCTTCCCTCTCTCTCTCTCTCCTTCTTTTCCTCTCTCTCTATGATAGTTAGTTATTACAAATAATTTCATTAGTGTTGTATTTTCATTCAAAATGATTTATCATCGATTTTATAATGCACGTTTGTCTACAACAATTATAATAAAAAAGAAAAAAAAAATTCTCGACTTATATATTTTATCGAACACTTCAATTTCGATTAGAAAATATCAGTTTTGAGAATATAATATAACTCACCTGTTAATTTAGCATATTTTTCATTACTATAGGTGAACATAAAATTGATATCGTTGTGAATGGTCAACAGCTTGGTATCGGACCATTTGTAATGGAGGTTTTGGAACCACCAAAAATTGCTCGCATTCCATCGACTATTCTTGCTGGCAAAGAGATTATCTTTGAGTGTAAGTTATCTTAATCTTATTTATTCTAACTCTTTCTAGAAAGAGATAATTAAGAAAAAACAAAATCGTTAAATGATTATTTCAGTTAAGTAGTATTAAAGAGTAAAATGAATTTTAATGATAAAATAGTTTATAATATTTTGCATCGTTTTCTCGCATTCAATTTCAGAAGTTTTCTTTATTTTTTAGTGGATATAAGTAATGTCGCACGGAGAAATGTGAAAGTGGAAGTTAAGAATGCCAAAAATGAATTGGTACCAGCAAAAACAGAAATTGGAAATGATGGAATTGTTCGAGCCTTTTGCACGTAATATTTTTTGGAAAAAAATTCCTAATAGATTAATTTTTTAAACAAAATAAATAGTAGGATGAAGAAATGGAATAATGTTTTTTTTTTTTGAAAATCAGCAGAGCTTATTAAATTGTAATTTTAATTCCATAGCAGTTCTTACTTTGAAACACTATAAATATAGAATAGTTTATATTAGGTTTATTTTGGATACTTTATTTAATCCAATCTGATCTAATTTGATTCGATTTGTTATATACATTATTGCGAATGAGTAATTGTTACTGTTACGAATTCTTAATTCTTCTTTTCATTTTTTATTTATTTCAGATTTCATGATGTAGGCCGTTATTCTGTGGATGTTTTTATCAATGAAATGCCTTATGGTGAACGACAGTATATTCGGGTCATTCAAAGTGGTCGCGGTGCTGTACTCGTTGATGAGATTGAACAAGCTTTAGTTGGTTGGTCATCCAAACTAATTATACGAACTGAACCTGGTGCCGGAAAGCACTTATCTGTTGTCATCGTTGGTTAGTTCTTCTTAAATTCAAATTTTAATCATTCAATAAATGCTCACACGATTATCTCTACTTGAGTAATTGTTGATCGAATAATAATAGCTATTTTTCTAATCAAACTCTCTCTGTAAAATAAACTAATCATTATCTGAAATATTTTTAAATAGTTACAGTGTTGAAGTATGTATTGTTTATGTTCCGCATATTTTAAATATTTCATTAAGAACTTCAGGTTTTAAAATTGAATGTTCTTCTTCAACATACAAATTTTAAGTTAAAACATATTTAAAATTTTTTCCATTTTTCAGATCCAGAACGAAATCCAGTTCCGACATCACTGAAGAAGTTACCGGATGAAATATTCGAAGTGGAATTCATACCACGAACAGAAGGTGTTCATAATATATCAGTGCTGGTAGGCGATGAGCATATTCGAGGAAGTCCTTTCAAAATTGCTGTATTGGATTTAAGCGCTGTACGTGTGATCGGCCTAAAAAATGATCGTGTTGGCATCGAACAATGTTTCAATGGTTCAGTCTTTCCTTTCTTCCTAATACATTTTTTATTAATGTTTGCTTAATTTTGATTAATGTTGAAAAAAGTGCAAAAAATATTTTTAGAAATTTAATTGATTTTAAAACTTGACAATTTTTAAAATAACCTTTTAGTGGATTGGTCAAATTCGGGTGGTACAAATGCAGCAGTACGAGTAACATATGGTGGTAAAGAGGTATCATGCACCATGAAACGTATCAAAAAAGGTTTACACATGTGCTCATTTATTCCACGACAAGTTGGACTTCATCTGATAGATGTGTTGATCGATGAAATGCTTCTACCGGGTACAGTTTCCAAATTGAATTGACCTTGTTTTTTTTTTCCTGTAGCAGAGAAATCACTTTTTATTCTTTTTATTTCATTTATAAGATAATATTTATGAGATAATAAGGTTTTATAAAAAGAGAAAGAATGGAAAATCTTTTCGTTTGGATTATTCATGTCTTCTTTTTTTTCCTAGAACTTATCTGATCTTTGTTATTTACAACTTTTTAAGAATATTTAATGGTTGACAGAAAATAAGAATACGTTATTTGACTCGAAAATAGTAAATAGCTTCAATTAAAGAGAAAAAAAATGAAAATTTTTCATTTTTAGAATTTTTTCTATTACATGTTTTTTAGACTGCTATAATTAATTTTGCGATCTTTCTTAAGATTTTTTTTTAATTTATAATTCAGACATTTTTCTTATAATATTGCAGAATGTCCATATGAATGTGTCATAAGTGATGCTGGATCAGTACGAGCATGTGGTGATGCACTGACACGTGCACAACGTGGCAAAACGGCACGTTTTGAAGTTTCATTAAATGACACCGAACGTGGTGAACTGGATGTAGTGGTTTCAGGTATTTTTATTTTCATAAAAAAGTTTTTTTCCCGATGAAAAGTGATTTAAATAAAGATAGAAATAATTGAGAGCATATAAGTAATATGCTATAGATGTCTAAAATTTAAATTTTATTCTTTAAGTCTTCAAAAAACTTTCCTGATTTCTCTATAAATTACATTAGCGTTAGCACAATTAATCATTACATCATTGATATTTGCGAAATTAAATCAAAGTCTTTGGCGTTTTATTGAATGCAGTATTGATTTTAAAATGTGTATATAAAGGTAAATAAGGCAAATAAGTACTTTATTTTTATTATAATAAGTTAATTTCAGGTTCCATATTTCATCTTTAGCAAAAATCTGGCATAAATTGCTAGTAGATTTTTATCAATTTTTTTCATGAAATTTGTCATTGTTGCACTTTGTTATACGTTATATCACATGTTCGTATTGTCCACGCTGCAGTTTCACTAATTCATGTATTCTTTTTTAATTTTTGTTTTTTTTTCTGATTTCGCAATTTCGTTTTTTTCAGATTCGCGAGGTCGACCATTACCAGTCCGATGTTATAAACAACATGATGATAGTTATTGGGTGGAATTTGCACCTGAAAATATCGGTATAGCTTTTTTAATAAAAATGATTGAAAAAAAAAAAAGCTTCAGAATTGAAATCGATAAAATTTTAGTATTAAGGAAATGAATGTTTTAATTTGAGGAAACTCCCTTATGGCTTTTTTTGATTTCTTTTTTTGTCTATCAGTTTTGTCATTGTGTCTTGATGCTATTCTAAGGTCAATTTAAATATAACTCATTTGGATATTTAAATTTGACCTTTCTATGAACTAAAAATGCTTTATGATACTCGTTTTTTTTACAAAACATTGTGCATTCAGTGAATGATTTTCAGTTTTCATAAGTTCTTTATGAATATTAATTATTGAAGCTGGGAAACATATAAGAACTAATTCATAAGTCATGACATCTAATATTTCTATCGTTTTGGTAATTTTTTGCTTCTTGTCCTGTTATCTTTAAAAATTAACAAACAGAGGGCGGTATTTTCTAAATTAAATTAATGGTGTCACTTAAATAGACAAACAATTACCATGAAAAAAATAAGGATGAAAAAAAAAGCTTGTAAAATATCAGTGAAAAATTAATTTAGCCGGAAAATATAATGTTAACATTAGAATAAAAATTTAAACCAAGGTAAAAATTCAAACAAAATTACTTATGAATAAAAGAAAATGTAATTACAAGTAGATTTTCAACTAAGAAAAGTAGCATCAAACGCATAAATTGATTGTTTATTATTTATCGCATTTCATGCAAAGAAATCAGATTCTGAAAATTTCTTCCTTTCCTATTCATCGTAATTCTTTTTTCTTTTTTAAATTGAACTCATAGATCTCATAAATTTTCTCATTCTCCAAATCATCCGGAAATTACAATATTTTTTTTTTCTTCAGGTCTTCATCAAATTGAAATAACATTCGCTGATACACCAATAACTGGTAGTCCATTTAAATGCATTGTGGTTGATCCACGGAAAGTTTTTATTAAAGGTATCAGTGAGCCATTCATTGTCAAACAACCTGCATTAATTACCGGTACATTTTTTGCGATTTGCTACTGATATGTTATTTTGCACAATATTTGCTTTTTTTTTACCGTAATATTGCTAATATACCGTTAAAGTTTTATTCAGTTAAAGAATTTTTGAAATTTTATAGTGAATCGTCAGCTAGCAGGTGGCGGTGATTTAACCGTAGAATTAATTGATCCATCTAATGAACCAGTTCGATTAGATATGCAAACAACCCCTGATGGTGATGATATCTTCGAATTTACCCCAACAAAAATTGGTCAATATAAATTGTCGACAAAATTGGCTGGTTTTCTTGTTAATGGTAAAAATTTAGATGATATAATAATTAGAAAAAAAAAACTTTTAGATCGAAAATTTAGTTTAATTTACTATTGTAATCTTTTATACTTGTGGCTTACTTTCAATCCACTTCCTTAGAGTTTATAAATAATAATAATGAGCTGGAATTTTTACTTTCATATTTCAGGAACACCACACACATTGATTGTTGAGGAGCATGGTAAGCCTGTTTTACGCGGATCCGCCACTGAACATCCTGTTGAAGTGGATCGTCCAACAAGCATTATTTTTGATGCTAAAAATGTAAAAGGAAATCTAAAAATCGATGTACGAGGTATGGAACAATGAATTATTCAAGTTTTTTTGAGAATATAAAAATTTATCAATTCTCGAATAATTATTTTTATTTTCATTTCTTTATAATCCTAATGAAGATTATTTTTTCGTTCTCTTATCTTCTGTTTCATTTGATCGAAATTTAAATTTTTATTAGAAATAAGTATTTAACTTATAAGATAGTTACGCATGGTACTTTTGCAAAAAAGAGGCTGGAAATGAAATGACTTCATTGCTTATTTAATATTTTGTCTTTTTTTTTTGTGAACAAGCTTAATTGTATCTCTTTATTTCACAGAATTTTTTCGATTGCTTTTTTATGTTGAAGTAAATTTATGCCAAATTTATGATTTATAAAAATTTCAACAGATTAAAAAATAATAAACTTTTTAATAGGACCGAAAAAAACGAAAGTTCGGCATTCAGCAAACAAAAATGCAGACGGAACAACGGAAATTTCATTTACGCCAACAGAAGTAGGCCGTTATTTAGTAAGCATTGAGCATAACAGTCGAACCATTCCGGGTAATTTTTTTTTTCATAGCCTATTCAGTAATTTCTTTTTTTTCACCTAACTTTTTACCAATAATTGGAAATCAGAAGGACCAAAATGAATCATTCAGGAAGTCCATTCGAGATCGAAGTTGTTGATCCACGGAAAGTAATTGTGAATGATAATTTGGCCGATGAACATGGAATATATCAGTTCGCAGTACAGCAAAGAAACGTCATTGATGTTGATGCTACAGCCGCCGGATCTGGTAAGCCGCTTGTCCAAAAAAAGAATCATTTCATAAATTTCAAATATTTCTAGAATTTTAACCTTTCCTTAGCTACATAATTTTAATCTTAGGTTATTTTATGCAGAAATGCGTTAAAAATTTATGACTGTATATTTAATGATCTTTGGATTGTTTTAATAATCTTTTCTTTAGCGAGGTCATTTTGAATTTAATAAAAAAAATATTTTTGTGATTTCTTGCAATCAAAAATTTTAGGTAAACTTCGAGCAGAAGTTCGTGATTGGGACGGCAAACCAGTGGGTGGTTGCGATGTCGAGTCACTCGGTTATGGCAAATATCGTGTAACATATTATCCGCAGCAATCCGGAAAATACGGCATCTACCTTTACTGGTCTGATATGGCAGTTCAAAAGGCGCAACCACTGCACGTGATTGCTGAAGGTGAACAACCTTCAACCTCACGTGCCATTCCGCTTACAAATACTGCTATGGCAACATCACACAATACCATAAGATCTCGATCTGAGTAAATGGTTTTCAAATTATTTTCGCTAATTAAAATAAATTTATCAATGATTTTGATATTCTTGATATTTTTTAATTTAATTGTATGTTTTAACTGTTAGTTAAATTTTTAAAAATTGTTGTAAATCAGAAAAAGAAATTAATTTCTAATTATGATTAAAGAATAGTAGTCCGATTTTAAATACAAAAAATAACATTTTGAAGAATACTTTCTGGAGAAGCAAAATTTGGAGCATGTTATAATTTGCAGGTGTAAAAATTGTCGGATTATGATCATATGCTCCGATTTTTTCCTCCCATTCAACCCCATCTTTTTTTTTCTTTTTTTTTTTGATAAATTTCATTTATAAAGATTTCACGAAGAAAGTGATTTTGGAGAAAGTTGTTAATTTGTGAAAGTAACTGAAATAATCCTAATCGCAATTCATTTTTACAAACATCGATATTTAAGGGATCATCAATCTCATGGAAGAAGCGGAACGGACTATTTGAGAGTTGTATTGCGAGGTGAGGGTTTAACACGGGCTACCAATAATGAACAAGCGGAATTTATCATCGATGGATCAGATGTCGCTGGAGGTTTGCTATTCCTAATTACAAATTTTGATATAATTTGTTTATGAGATTGTTTTTATAAATGTCAGCTATGTGTTACAAAAATTTAAACTCAGAATTCTTTATGATTGCAAATATCATAGAAAATAGAATTTCGTATGAAATTTTAATTTTAGAATTTCAAATTTTCTAAGCGAATATTTCAGATGATGGACAAATATCGTGTTCATTGTTTGGACAAAAAGCAGATATCCCGGTACGCTTAACTCATCTGGGAAATAACGTTTATAAAGCTGTCTATACACCACTAATATCTGGTATCTATGAATTACAGGTTCAATTTTTATCAAATTTCACTTAGATTCATCGAGTTAGTAATTTTATTCTATTAATTAGCTTGATATTTATTTTAGCTATGCAATTTTTTCGTTGAAGAAATCATTCAGGAATGGAAATGTTGATTATATGGAATTCAAAGTTTTCAGATTGCTCAATGATTTTTATTCATTTATTTGGCTCCTAAAAAATTTGATGAATTCAAAAGAAATAATTTTGTTTAATATATAAGAATTGATAGATAATACTGTCATTACAGGTATTATGGGATGGACATCATGTTCGTGGTTCACCTTTTCGAGTGCAAGTTGATTTGCATTCTAGTGCTGCAGATGCTATCGTTATCGATGCAAATACACTGAAAATGGGAATTGTTAATGAGGATGTGAAAACTGTTATTGATACGAGAAAAGCAGGAGCAGGCTTGATTTTTTTTGTTCTTCTTTAATAATAATATTATTTGCATTATTATAGGACTATTCCAATAAGGGGTAGAAAAATTTTAATAGAAATGTCGTATTTTATGACAAAAAAAAGTAGTTACTTTTAACCTATGGAAATACTACTTTCCTATTTTTTTTCCATATTTTTTTCCGCACATTATGTAGTAAAAAAGTGAAAATAATATAGGAAAGGCTTAATATAATTAAAATATATTCAAATTTTTAAGAGGCTTAATTCTAGGGTCCAAAATCGGAATATGCTCTTCTAATCGCGGATAATATTCATGTTTTGAATTATCACCGCTGATATTAAGCAAGAAATATTTTGATTACTACTGTATTTAATATTGTTATTTTAGGTCAACTATCAGCACAATGTATGGGACCAACAAAACTTGCATATTGCGAGCTTTACGATCTTCGCGATGGTACATATACTCTTTCAGTTAGACCTTCTGAAATTGGAAAACATACGCTGGGTATTTTTCATTTTTTTTATAAATTAGTAACAATTCAGTTTAAAATTCTTCTCATTTAATGGCATCATTCAATGATTAATGATATAATCTAAAAAAAAAACAAAAAACAATGCAAAATTAAACTACAAATAACTTTCTTTTAAACTTTAATTCATTTTATTTTGCATTTTCTTTTACATATTCAAATTTCAAATTTCTGTTTTATTTGAAGATTGATCTGCATCAGTTAATTACGGTAAAAAACCGATTAAAAAAGGAATTCGTAACGGAGTGCATTTTAGAAATGTTATATTTATTTCATTTTTTTCAGTTGTGAAATATTCGGATGAACAGGTGCCAGGAAGTCCATTTGTTTTTAATGTTTCCTATCCACCAGATGCATCCAAAGTACGTGTATATGGACCTGGAATTGAGCATGGAATACTTTCCACGTAAGTTGACATTTCTTTTAATAATGTCAATTTTATTATCAATTTCTTTTTTTAATAAATTGACATTTTTTTAAATAATATCAATCTTATTATCAATTTTTTTATTTAACCATTTTAATCTCAATTCAAAGAAATATCTTAAATTATCTTTCACGTATATTATTTCATATATTAAATAAAAATTAGAGCTACTTTATTGTAGGTTTAAATCAAATTTCGTTGTTGAAACGAAAGGTGCCGGAGCAGGACAGCTTACAGTACGTGTTCGTGGACCAAAAGGAGCATTCAATGTTGAAATGCAACGAGAAAAAAAGCAAGAACGAACAATTCATTGCAAATATGAACCAAAGGAACCAGGAGATTATCAGGTTTTATTTCATTTCATATTTTAATCCTAAAATAATTATAAATTTAAGTATTCAGAATATTGAAATATAAGAGATTGATGATTATGCGAGCAATTTAATTAACTCTTCTGAAATCTTTAAATTTAAATGTATACGTGGGATTAGAGATGTTAAAATTTGGTATATTCATTCCTGGATTTTTTTTTTCACTTTTAACATTGCAATATAAATCCAATACTTAATATTTTTAAATTGAAATGTAATTGTAGGATTAAATTTTAGGTGGAAGTTAAATGGCATGGTGAACATGTTCCGGGATCACCATTTCTGGTAATGATTGTTGATACGGAACAAGAATTACAGCGATTCCTATGTGGTGATGCACCATCACCACAACCAGCAACTCCATTTATACCACCTGGTTGGATTGGTACACCACCACCACCACCATTATTTCTTGGTGGACCTCCACCACGTGGTCCATATCTTCAGCCTCATGCTGCCGTACTTCCTTTACCATCACCAACCATTCAGGGAACACCGTTGACAGGAGCGCATGGATCCTTAATGCCATATGGAACGATGCCACAACCACCGCATGCAATGCGTACCGTAATACGACCTAGGTTTATGAGCGGTTATTGATAATTTTAGAAAATGTTAATTTATCGAAAATATTCTCTCCTCCATTCTTAATCATTGCATACTTGAATATTTTCATTAGTATTCGTCAGTAGTGCATTGTATGTGTATGTGTGTGTGTCATCTTTTTTTTTTTTTATTTTTCATGACGAAATGAATAAATTAATGATTTTTTATTTGTGATAAAAATTTGCACCGTTCGAAAATTTATGGAAAATTTTTTGTTGAAAAAAAAGGATAAAAATCTTTTTTATGCAGAAATTATTGTGAATTCTGAAAATTTTCATCTATTTCACTTTATTTTTTAATGAAAATGTTATATAAAATTTTCATTTTTCATTCCTTTTTTCCCATTCTTTTATTGCTATAATATAATTCAATCATTAAGCATTGATAAATTAATTAATTGGAAAATGTTTTTTTCTTTTCCTTAAAAGAAAAAGAATCTATTCTTTTCTTTTAAAGAAAATTTAATGATTTGTATTTTCTCGAATTGAGATTTTCCATTCAAATAGAATTGAATGGGTTGACTGCATTAGCGAAGAAATTTTAGCTTTTAAAATGATTATATCCTTATTGTTTGTATTTTGCGAAAGAAACGAATCTTCGATATGGTCAATGTTATTATGTTCCGTATAGTACTTCAGACGTTCACGTAAATTTTATCATTTTTCGAAATCTTTATTAAACGATGGTACTTTCACATTATTACGCCATACGTCATACTTTTTTGTTGTTTAAAATAACATAGATTTCTAATAATTGATTTATCAATATTTCTATTAATGGGATAAAGGAAGAAATACATTTTGAATAATTTTATTTGGACGTCTTAATCAGCCAGTCTTATCGCTACCCTCTTTTTATCATATCATAATTGTAATTTTGATAATTTTTGCAAAAATGTGACGTTGACAAGATTCAATTTTCCTGTAATGTTTTATGAAATCATCCTACTGTATATCAATTTCCGAATTTAATAATTCACTCATCATCATGCTTCCGGATATTTTTTTGTTCAAGAAAATTTTTCTGTCAGTGAATGTCGATTCACATTGTTGCACACGAGCAACATGATCGCTTCCCTTCATATTTTTTATGGTTTCTCTCAATTTAACGCGGTTTTTTTTTTAAATGTTTTTGTTTTCTCATTCATCCAACCATATTTTTTCGCCATGAAATACGAATTTGCATTAAAAAATTTCAAAAAAAAAGAAGAATCTCACAATCATTATATGAAAATGCAAAACATAAAATGATAAGTCGACCGATGGAAATGTTAACGATATAATCATTAATATTTTATATATATGCAAACAAGCAAGGCATCATAGTAACTGAATAATTTTTTATTTCAAACGTTATCATTTTAAATTTTGGCTGGAAATTTTTGTATTAGCGTTAAGTAAAGAGTCCATTTTGATGGTACTAATAGTACTATTAGTTAATGATTAAGTACCATTTAAAATTTATTCATCCAAAAACGAATTTAATAATTGATAAATGTTAGTAAATATGTTGCTTTCATTAATAGCAATTTTGCTTATGGATATTTAGAAATGCCTTTCATTAAGCATTTTTACTCATTGTGAAATTGAATTCTATGTCTCAAAATGCTGCATCATCTGATCAATGACCATAAGATTACAAACATGCGACAAATACCGGTTAATACTGTTATTACACTTAGATTTGAGGATTTAACTTACAATATTGTCAGATTACTGTCATACGTTTATTATTTATCAAGAAGTATTGGATTAATTAGTTACATTTAAATTATTAAACTTAAATCCGAACAATTTTCTCTTTCTCGTTCTCCCTCTCTCTCCTCTCTCTGTCTGTTTGTGATTGAGCTTTTTATCAATGATATAAATAGACGAACGACTTTTTTCTCATTGCTGAAAAACACTGAAAAGCGATAATATAATAGATAGACATTGTAGAGACTAGCAATATCATTGAACTCTCAACTGATAGTGCTACAGTGAAAAATGAAACTGATAAATTCAAAACAGTAAATGATCATTTAATCATGAAGAATTACAAATTAAAAAAGTAAGGACAGAGTAGTATCGTTGGAAATAAGTACGATGAAGATAGTAATTAGTAGAAATTAGTTCCAATTAAGATAAATTAAACTTTCTTAAATCTCTCCCATCATTTATTTTCAATAAATATACCGTAACATTTAACATTAAATTTAATTTTTTTTTTCTTTACGAAATTCAACACTCGCTTGATTTCAATTAAAATTCAGATTTAGTTTTTAATTTGCTACCACGTTTTATGCTGCATTAAATGATTAAAAAAGAATGAATGGTTTTGTCGGCTGCTAATTAAAATGTTTGGAAAACTTATCCATGTGTGTACATGTATGTCTATATGTGTGTATGTGTGTATGTGTGTACGTGTGTATGTGTGTACGTGTGTATGTGTGTACGTGTGTATGTGTGTACGTGTGTATGTGTGTACGTGTGTATGTGTGTGTTCAATTTGATCCTTTGATAAGTGCAACAAAATTAATTTACAATAAGTGAATGAGTGATTTCGAACATCGTTCCAGCACTTTTCACTCGTCATTTCTTCTTCATTCACTCATTTTGATTTGTTTATTTGTTCCAATGGTTTTTTTCTCTGAATTTTGTGATAGTGCAAAAACATGTCGGAAATCACATTTCGAAAATATCATCGTGTTATCATTAATCATACAATTTATAGTATGGTTTAAAATGAAGACAGAGGAGGAAAAATTTTTTTTAGCTTTTTCCTTGAAAGAGAGAGAAAGGAAGAGAAGGAGAGAGAAGAGAGGTGGGGAAGAAAAAATGAAAGAACCCATGTTTCAGTAACTATAAAGCCTTTGTTTATTCACTTAGAGTGGAGAAACTGAATCCGGTAGATCTGTAAAAGTGATGCAAGTTTCATTTTTTGATTTTTCAAATTCACGTCTCTGAAACCATCCAGGTGAAGTAATTTGTTATAGTTAAGTAGAGAAAAATAAAAATTTTTTTTGAATTTTTCTTTTCATTTTGAAAAATTTTCCATAAAGATCACGGAAGTTATTGTTATCATCATTTTTTTTGGAAAATTTCGTTGAATGGCTTTTTAATATTATTCATTTTTGGTTCGACTAATAAGCTGAAATTAGATTGTTGTTCGGACTTTTTTTACAAATTAAGCTGTCTTATATTTTGTATTTTTTTTTGCAAAAAAAAGTAATTTTGACTTAAGCATTTATTTTACAATGTTACTGTTTTTTTTTTTTGGATACAGTAAAAGTGCAAGAAAAAATCGTTCCGTTTTCGGATGAAATAGATAGTAACATGATTTGCAGATTGCAATTTTTAATATAACTTTAATTGAAATACATAATATTTGAAATGTTACATAATAGTAATTATTGCCACTAAAATAATTCTTTTTTGACTTTCGAAGACGATTAATTTCGGTATTCTCTGACATCGTGTTTTTTTTTTTTTTTGAAAACTGCTAAAAATAAATTTATGAAATAGTAGCTTTCTGTTGGTTTTAATTTTTTAGCAGTATTTTCTTAGCAAGAAAATGTAAAAACGTGCGAAAATCATACATGTTTGATAGCAGTACATAAATAAATTAAAATTTTTAATATTAATATTATTAAACTTGTTGGCTTATATTTTGTATTAGTTAGTAATTTTGAAATTTTGTAAAATGAAGAATAGCTTTTATTCAGAACAATATATAATCATGATTAATTTTAAATATTGAATAGATAACCTTTCAAAATTGTTAAATGTAATAATTTAATATTTCGACACTTCAAAATATCTTTTTGTAGTAAGATATGTTTTTTTTAGATGTATTATTTATCCGTCAGTCCTTTAATTTAATTAGCTTAGCTATACAGATAGATTTTAATTATTAGATATGAATTATGCGAATATTTGTATTATTTCACATTTATTAGATTTAATCAAATTCAATTAAAATATCAACATGATAAATTAAGTTGATGAACTGGATAAAGCGAGAAAGATTAAATTAAGTTATAGTTCAATTGATTTTGATCAAACATGTTTTAAACAATAAAATAATTCGATTATTTTTATTTTTATTTTTTTTACAAAACAAATACAACATTCAATTAAAAAAATAGATAAATTGCTTTAATCTGTTGAATGTTTTCTTGAAAAAATCAGATGCTGTTGATATAAATGTTAAACAACTGTTAATTCTTTGATTCATTTAACTTTTCTTAGTGGTTTTTAATTTTGATTTTTGAAGCACAAAATTATTTGATTCATTTCCGCCATAATAATAACACTCATAAGACATTTTAAAAGAAACACCTACAAAATTAGTTATAATACGAATAATGGATGAAATGATATAAAATTGTTTTAAATTAATCGGAAATTCTAATAAAAAATTATTCGCCTATAATTTAATTCTTCCTTATGTCTTTTTCATATTCTGATTATTGCAAATAATGAGAAAAAAAGTACAATCAAATGTTGCATGTCAAATCAGGTCGGTTAATTTTCAAAATTTGATTGTCAAATCAAATCAGGTCGGTCAGTTTTGATAATTTTATTATTACCTCTATTTTTATAGTCAAGAAATTAATTTCTGTTACTTTTCATTCAAATCTATTATTTTTTTTTTGGTTTCAGTCTAAAAGCTTTTTGTTTTTAAAAGATGTTCTGAAAATTTTCGAGCAATAGTAGCTTTGAGATAAATCAAATTTGAAAAAATTTAGTTTGCAAGTGCATGAGAGGTATATTATAATGATTATTGCTTCTACGGACATTTTTTGCTATTTTAACTTTTTCCATCTGATAAGATTTAATGTTAATGATAAAAATTGGAAAATTATCGTCGAAAAACTTCAATTTATCATCAAAATTTTAAGCAATAATTAGTAACTATTAGTATAATATAACTGATAAAAAAAATCTATCAAATTGAAGATTATCAATGTAATAAAAGCGTACATATTGGTTGTATTGCGCACGATATTGCTAAAGTAATACTTTATTACCTATCTTAATTATTAAATTTAGATTCTATAGCAGGAAGTTTAAAGAAGTTACGATCGAATCAGCGAATTGAACAAAAGTGAACTTGCATACACAATTTTTTTTTTCTTTTTGGAAATTCTCATATATTTGTGCTTTGCACAGATTTGTTTAAGGAGCATTTCAAAATAGAATCGAATGGCAAAGTTAAGTTGTGGCGCAAGATGTCTCAAATTTTGCCTTTTCGTCTTTAATTTGGTTTTTTTGGTAAATTTTTCTTTTTTTTTTTTCAAATTTTGAATATTTGATTTTATTTTGCACTTTTCAAATAACTTTACCATCAAATGTTTGTAATCATAGTAAAATATTTTTAATCAATTTTAAATTAATCAAATATTTAGGTTCAATTGTAATGAGAAGATGTACGTTTGTTAATTTAGCAAAAAGTAAAGAAAAAATATTTACAGCTATGTGGTTTGGTATGTGTCGGTATTGGCACATGGCTTGTGCTAGATCGATATGCAGTTGATAGCTTAGCAACTGCTAGTGAAAAAGTTCAAGTTACTGATGATGGATTACGAGAATTGGTGTGTTTGTTAACGATTGTTTGATTTTTCTTCCGATCTATTGAGATAAGATAAAGTTGCTAAAAATAACGTTTTTTTTTATTCTTTGAACGAAAAAAAGGCAAAGAAAAAAAAGAATGAAAAAATTGATGAAATTATTTGAAAAAAAAATTTTTTTTTCAAACTTTTTTGATAGTCTATCCATTTCGATATGATGAAAAAGAAACTGAACGAGTGAAAAGCAAACGAAGAAAAAAAATGAATAAATGATAGATTTAAATCATAAAAAGTGCTTAATTTAGACTCTAATATTTTTTTCTTTTTAATTATAAATTTTATATTGATAAAAAGTATTTCAATGAGCAATCAGAAGAAGTTCGATGAAAATTTGATAACAATAATAAACTAAATTCATCGATAATGAAAGATTTAATTGTTCGTATAGTGATTTAAATTCAATTTAATATTTTAATTTTAATATAACGCTTAAATATTTAATATTATAAATTTTATAATTAAAGGCATCTAAGCCAGCAGCGGTACGACAAGTTGGTTATCTGCTAATTATTGGTGGTATAATTGTCATTGTTGTTTCATTTCTGGGATGTTGTGGAGCAGCGAAAGAATGGCGTTTACTTTTATGTTGCGTAAGTTATCTTCCTTTCAATTAAATTTTGCATATTTATGAAAAAAGTAACATTGTATCCTGGGATGAATTAATGAAAAAATAGCTATTGCAATTAGATAAACACCACAAAACCATTCAAAACATAACTCTTTTTTCGTCATTTATAATTTTATTCGAATCAAAAAATTAATTCAAAATTTTAATGAGTACCGGTATAAATAAAAAAAATTTGAAGATATGTAATTAAAAAATCTTAGACTATTTATGAAATTGGTTGAGAAAATTTTTTGTCCATTATTTGATCCTACTTAGCTCAAAAGAGCCATAAAACATGATTTTGAAAAGCTCAAATTATTAATTTTGATAATAATTTTTGTTAATCATATTATGTCATTTTATCGAATAACAAATTTGAGATTATACGTTCCTTTTAATGTTCAAAATTCATAAATTAAAAATTTGAGAAAAAAACCATTGAGAAAAAAAAATTATCTTAAATATCATAATAAGAGAGAAAAATATTTTGAACTGCTTTTTTTTCAGGAAAATTTAAAATAATAACTTAAGTTATAATTACTTTATCATTTGGTTAATTATTTTTTTACAGTATGCAACATGCCTAATGATTATATTAGCAACACAGATAGCAGCAGCGATATATGCTGTGATGCATAGCCATATGGTAAGTTTTTATGCTATATCATCCAACTATCGCTAAAGTTTTTCATCGCATTTCATATGAGTAAAATTTATTTTTCTCTTTTAATGAAACATTTTAATTTCTCATTTCATTTATTCTATTAATAAATTATAGTTTGCGCAAGATTTTCGACAAATTTTAAAAGCATCGTTAAAACTTTACAATGGAACGGATACTGCACATAAAACATTCGATGATACGGTACTCATGAAGGCTGCCTGGGATAAAATTATGATTGAGGTAATTTTGATGATTTATATGAGTTATTATGTAATTTGATAAGAAGTAAGTGCAAAAAAAAAATTAAATAGACAAAATAACGCTCAAAAGTTTACTAATTGAATTTTTAGACCATTTTTGTTTATCATTTACAGTTATCATTATTTAAATAATTTACATCACTACTATCATAGTTATCAGTATTTCTGTTAGATAGTCTTATTTATCGCTGTCTGAAAATGATTTATAGAAATCTTGTTGTGGTGTAGATTCAAAAATTGGTGATTTCAATGAAAGCGGTTGGTATCAGCTAACTGGTCGAAAACATCATTTTCCGCCAGCTTGTTGTCCACCAAACAAAAATGGTGTTTTGATGGAATTTTGTCCCACAATAGCCAGATATGGTGATGTTAGTGACTTCTTAAAATGTTACTCAGTAAAATTGATTTCAGTCATTTAGTTACGGAACTCAAAATTTCGATTAAAAAAATTAACACAGAAACTTACCATTGCAAATATAAAGTTGGACAATTTCTTCGATTAACATCTCCTCTATACTTTCTTACAACAATTCAGTTCCATTTTTTTACATTGAATAATTACTGCGACAATTGCGCTTATGGCTGTACTGTTATTTCGTTGTAGGGTTGCTATAATAAAATTAAAGATTCTGTGCAGGCCTTATCGACTCATTTCAAGATTGTTGCATGGACTGTAATCAGTATTGCATTGATACAGGTGAAGTGAATATTTCAAAAAAATTATTTGAGTCCAAAAAGTCGACAAATTTAAGAACTTATTAAGTTTTTGAAGTTTTCTCTTAATTCAATTAACTCATAGTTTTTCAAAATAATTTGAAATTTTTATTTCAATAATTACTATCAAACGAAACAATCTATTTTCATACTTTTATTTTTCTTCTCTTTTCATAAAAGTTTTTAATAAATTTCGAAATTTTAAGATTTTCTTAGTTAAAAAAAAATATATTTTGAAATGCTTAAAATGATTACGCAAGTGAATTACTCGAGAAGCAAGCCTCACAATAAGGTTAAAAAGTAATTTCACACTTTTTAAAATAGTTTTTTTTTTCAGGTATTTGGTATAACAGTAGCATTTTGCTTATGTAATGCTATTGGAGAAGATGAATACCAGTAGATACATTTACAATTAATTTTTTTGTTTGATAATGCCGCTTTTACTTTGTATGTAAATATTTCCCATACAGTTTGAAATTTTTGGGAAATTTAATAGCTTTTTTAAATATTCTATTTTCCAATACTATTTTGAACAATTAAACCTCAGCTGCCAAATTTTATGATTGTTATTATGAAGGCAAGCAGGTTATTTTAGTTCCAAAGTTTTCATATTTAAATAATGATAAGCTTTAAAATTTTAATCTTTAATAGCATGGATTTTGGATATTTGAGTTTAATTACACCTTTTATGCATAAAAAATGATGGCGAAATTGGTATTTTTGACTTATCTGATTTAAATGAATGAAATTGGAAAGTTTATATTATTTTTTTATCAACATTTACATTTAGAAATAAGTTGAAAAATGGAAAAAAATCGAATGGGGAAGTTTTGCTGGATTATTTGATTTCGAAATGTTCAAATTTTGCAATATAGCATTATTATTATTATTATGATTATTATTTCAAATCCCTTCACCATCTTCCACTGTACTATTTTCAAATTTCAAATGAAATGTGTGCTTTCAAAATATTACTGTAAAATGTTGTAAGGACACATAGCTAACAAATGAGCTAATAAAATTTACAATATTCGGTCATTTTTGACAATTTTATAATCTTTTTAATTATAAAGTATCTGTTCTTCTATATCATATTCTTAAATAAAGCTTTGAAGTTCGAACAGAAAAAAGTATGCGATTACTGCTATTTGTTAAATTTTGATTATTTTCCTGCTTATTTCGAAATATTTCCAGGCACTAAATTTTGTTTTAAAGATTCGCTGAAAACAATTGCAATAATCATTGAACAACAAATTTTACATTTAAACATATACGTTCTTTGGTTCGAAAAACATATGAAAACATTCGCATTCTTCATTTTAATTTCTTTTTTTTTGTGTGTTTAGCTAATTAATTTTTCAAAAAATGAATGGATGTATAAATGCAGTAAATGGAAAAATAATAATCACATAAATTTGTGTAAAGAGAATTTTAATAATTTTATGAGAGTGATTGCTATCATATTTAATTTAATTCATCCTTTTTCGCACATTTTCAGTAACTTTCAATAAATTATATATGTTTGTTAGTTTTAATATTTTTTAAAATTTATTCGAAATTTCTTGTGCTAACCGAATAACAGATAGAATCAATAATACAACGAATACTAACAATAATAAAATTTCACTTTTGAGATGGAAAATAAAGATGGGGGAATGATCGATGGCTTCGTGTAATGAATTCTATTGTGGAATTTTAGATGACTAAAAGTAACATTTTTTGATTTACACCAATCTTCTCATTAACATCACGTTGTTTTAGCCTTTTCGTAGAAGCAATTCGTTTAAATAATAAATTCTGTCCTCATTTTGAAAAAGGAGAAGAACGGAGAGAGCAACAAAAATCAGGTTTCCAAAAAATTGCTAATTCGTATATTGTGGATGCTATTTGGACAAAGGGTCATCTCTTGTTAATTGTGCTCGCTATTTTCTAAACATTACATTAGCCATTATGCAACAATTATCATTAAATTAAGCTGTTAATTCTAAGTGAAAATGAGAAGAAAAACATAACGGTATGCGAGAATCAATATTATCTGAGTGTGAGGAAAAGAGTTTGAGCATTCTGAATTTCAGATAAGCAATGATTGCTCAAGCAATCTTTTTAGATTACTTAAAAGTGACATTCTTCAATTTACAGTCAGTTCTTTTCATACGAAACAAAACTTAGTCACTTAATTAATTATGACGAATTAGGAATATTAAATATTGTTAAATATCAAACATAACTTTCAAATATTTATTGTCAAAACTTTTACCGAGTACTTACTGTTAAATATTAGATAATATTACGATATGAAAAGAAATACTAAAACTATATTTTTATTACACTTTTCCAAATTTGCTATATTCATAAGAATGATTATTTTCTACCGATTTCGTTCATATTTTAAAATCCTCTTTTTTTTCTTCTCATTTCTTTTATAATTCAAGGATATTATTTGAAGTCATTATTTATCGACTTTTTTTTCTTCTGCCTCTTTTCAAAAACATTTTAATCATTGTAAGAAAGAAATGATAATTTAATGATTTGACAGAAAGGATAAAGTCTGATTTTCCTATATAAAATTTATCGGTGAAACGAATATCAGTTTCTATGAAATGTTAAAATTTGAATTGAATGAAAATTTGCTGAAATTATCCCTAGAAGAAGAAAAGGTAAAAGTCATCGAATAAATGCGAGAAATAAGTGATTTCGAATTCAGAAATGTTTCAATGCTTTTTATTTCATCTCAAAATAATTATGAGCAATGCTTAAAAACATTCGATAGGGAACTTTTTCCGGACCCGAAGCCTCTTTAGCTCAGTGGCAGAGCGTCTGTCTCGTAAACAGAAGGTCGCTGGTTCGATCCCAGCATGAGGCAATTCGGCGCTACTCTTTGCAAAAATTCTGTTATGTGTCGCAGAATTTGAAATTGTATAATCGAATTGTATCGCTGCTGTTCTATAATAATAATTGATTTCTTATTATGGTTATGCTAATCAGCCAGATCGCTGTTGTAATTTCTGTTTGGACCTTATCAGGTTAGCTAATGAATACGTGAAAATATATCGGCTAAGGTGCTATGTTCATATACTCTCCTTTCTTACACATAACAATAATCATAATTTTTCTATTTTTGCAATTATTAAATTCAACTTTAGCAATTCGAGCAATGCTTATTAGACTGCTTATCAAATAATGATACAATTTGTCAAATAATGGTTCATAATTTCTAAATTATGCAAATTACAATTAATAACAAATACTCAGACCACATCCTGCAATAATAAATAATACATGACAATGAATTTACTGCGACATTAATTTACTATACCAATATGACATGATGGAAAATATAATCTGTCATTTATTGTGTTTGTTCACTCCATAAGAGTTATCCGATATTTTAGGAATGATAAAATCGTTTCGTTAGTAAATGTCGACGATGAAATGGATTAAAAGACTTGTGAAGTTAAAAGAGGAATAAAACTTGTTTGTTAAGAAAATATTTCACATGATGAAAAATGGTCAAAAATAGGTAATGTAAAACAAAATATCGTCAACCATTTATTTTTCCATACATACCCTTCCATTATCAATAATTCATTAAATTCTTCTATCATTTTTTGTTGAAAAAAGAGAAATAATCCCGGTGGTAAAATCAGCTATGAATTTTGAATGTCCGGCATTTATTGATTTAACTTATCATTATTTGAGATTCACTAATACAGTTGATAATTTTCACAAGAGAAATTATGATTGCTACTGATCGTCAGTTATTTGTTATCATAATTCACTTCTTTTTGCTCGCTTTAGAGAAAGTTGTTTCAAAGAAAAAAATATCTAACTTTTCAAAAATGAAAAATGAAAAATCCTTCCCTCCTTTCTCTCTTTTAAATACAGTTAATTTCTGTTCACTCTCATTCTCTCTCTCTCTCTCTCTCTCTCTCTCTACTCCTATACTAGCTAATTATTCATTCTTTAATTATGCAAACTGTCCCCTACATTGTGAGAGAGAGTTTAGACATTTTAATAAAAGTAACTTTCTAGGAATGTGAAAGAACATATTCACTTCTGAATTTAATCGAAAAACCAATTCTACAGCGTGCATACAGAGTGCAGAAATGCTGTTAAATATCGTGTAAGTGAAGAAGCTTTCAATCCGAAATAAAATGATCCGACCGGTGGCTTCTTTTTGATGCGTGACTCATGCAGGAAGAATGCATTTAGCTGACTCAAAAAAATGCTTTATGTGCAATAGTAATTGGAATCAATTAAATATCTTTCCTTATTCCACATGATTTGACCTTGTACCCTTTTGTTCTACGTAATGATTCATGGGGCCTTAAGTATTTCAGTAAAGTGTGAAAGCGTTGTAGATTGGTTGGTGTTGATTTACAACAAATTATTTGTTAAGATTTATTTTGCAGTTAGGAATTTCATCCAATAATTCCACAGATGGAATACCTTAACGGATGAAATGGACAGTAGAATATATGATTGTAGTGGCTTAGTAGGGAAAAATAAGCGTACAACCGTTGAAAAATGTAGAATATCAAAATGGAGGGAGTACCCGATCTCCATATTTAAGAACGGTACAGGATAGTAGATCATTGGGGAAAGAACATTGGGAACGGTACAGAATAGCAGATCACGAGAAAAGAGATGATTGTGTGTGATTCGTTACATTGTTGTCACGTAAGAGATAAAAAAACAATAGAAATGTGTGGTAAAGCTATCTCTCACAAATATTATTGTAACACAAAGAGATCACATTACGAGAAATATATTTTAACAAAGACAAAATTGTAAGGTGCAACTTTCTCAACCTGACCGTTAATGGTATAATTCTCAAATCGATGTGAGTAATTTTATCATAAATATTCGGATCTTTCAATATAAGGTATAATATGTTGAAGAAAATAAAATATCAAGTCATTTTGAAAAAATTCCAATAGAATTCTTTTTCGTTTGGTACAATTGCGCATTAATTTTAACTGCCTTCTTCCATAATCGATCATCTCATATTGATTAGAAAAGCTCCACGTCATCCTCTCAGAAGAAAATTAAAGAAAAGGGAATATTTCGTTTTTTTTTTTTACTCTTTTTTTTTCACTCTTCCGATATCTGTTTTCATTCAAATTTTTATCCTTTAAATAAATAAATTCGACTGAAAAAGTTTCAATATTTGATTGGAAATTCTGCATCATTTCATGCATTAGAAGATTTTCTTTATAGTTTCATAAGCGAGAAATAGCTTTACTAAATAGTGATTATGCGACAAAAATTTGCATGATCTAAAAAATTTTACTGCTAAATATTTGCTCGAAATTGTAGATTTTTCTCACAAGGATAAGCTTTTGCAAAGTAATATCTATTAAAAACAGTTGGCGGTATTAGCATAAGGCTTACTGTTTT